GCCCGCTGTCTAAGGGGAGAGCCCACCGTGCCCCGCCCCTCCCCCCGTCCGTTCCGCCAGTCAGCGCTGGCGGATCGGAGCAGGGGGAATCCCTGCAGGTAGCCGTGAGTGACTCTCTGCAGGCACGGGATCGAGAAGTGAGCGAGCGACGGTATGTGTTCCCTCACTTCCCAATCTACTGAGCCGACGTGTGACAGTCTCATTGTCACACGTCGCCCCGAACTATGAGGTGAGTGAAAATCAGCCCCCCCTCCCCCCTCATACTTCTCCTTTAAGAACAGCCAATAGTAACCTTAGTGACACTGATCCGGCAGCATTTCAGGGTCAGATGTCACTAAAGGTTTTCTGATCGTTCCAACAACCATCAGAAAACTGCAACATTGTTTCAGGAGCAGATACATTATGTTTCTATTGTTGAAAGCCGGTATACATGGGGATTTCCCGATCTATACCCGCCGTCAGAGTGCCGGCATGAGCTGCAAATCCATCTCTGCTCTCACTCTAAAGGTGGCCATACACTCTACAACCATCGCAAGACTTTAGTCTTGCGATGGTTGTAAAGGGATTAAAAAAACGTACGATCTGCCCATCTTGGCCAGGCAGATCGCACTCTCGATTATCGCAAGCCCGCCCCCCTGAGGGGCGGGCTTCCGATGACCGCAATGCTGAACGGGCAGTGTGCGCGTGCGCACACCGGCCCGTTCAGCATTTATCTTCCGAGCACCGTTCTAACCAGCCGAGAATCGTACGATTCCCGGCTGGTTTTCGAACATGCTGGTTCGACAGAAGACGTGCGACCGTACAGTAGAAACGGTCGCACGTCTCCGTTCACACTGCTCGATTATCGTACGAAAACCCGATCGCATACGATCATCGTACGATAATCGTGCAGTGTATGGGCACCTTAAGACACCCGATTCCTAAAGGGGATCGGGTGCCTGGAAAAGGTTAATTCTTTCATTAAAGGAGAACTATGAGGGGGGGGAGGGGCTTTTCACTCACCTCATAGTTCTAGCCGACCTGTGACAATGCGACTGTCTCAGGTCGGCTCAGTAGATCGGGAGGTGAAGGAACACACAACGGCGTTCTCTCACTTCTCGATCCTGTCATGGCTCTCTGCCGTGACAGGGGGAGGGGCTGAGAGGGGGCGGTTACAGCGGGCTCGGCCTCTAGATAGGCAGAGCCAGCTGTCACTCACTCAGCTGGGCGGATCTCGACACAATTGTCGGGATCCGCTCTGGCTGCGGCATCTCAGTATACCGCGAGCTGTAGCTCCCTATATACTGAGCTTAGGGTGACGGGAGGACGCTAGTTTGTGTCCTTCCGTTACCCTGAGGAGAACTATGGGGAAAGCCCTGACCCCATAGTCCTCCTTTAATGGACGCCTCAATACTGACCCATCCGTTACTGAGCGGTAACCGCTGATTCTCAGCATTGCAGTGACGCAAATAACTGATCAAGTACAGCGTACGTCTCCCGTCACAAAGGGGTTCAGCAAGCCGGGGGAAACGGTGAAGGTGACACAAAAGAAACAACGACACCAAATTGTTTAAAACGTTTGTGGTGATTTTTTTTTTCCGATTAATACTTTTCTGGCCGGCAGGGTCGCCTGGAGGGATCATTGCAGAGGAAAAAATCTGAGTTCCTTTACTGCTGGATGTTAAATGTGACGGGAACCCGAAGACACGGCCGTCCTCCGAGGAACGCACAAAGCTCAACAAATCAGCACAAGTCCAGCGGCAGCAACAAACGATCCGATTGGCTGCAGCGGAAAACACTCATTGATTCATTTTACATATTTTTTTTTTCATACGTGTAACGGCCTAATAAAAAAAGATCATAAAATCCCCTATGTCGCCTCTTCTGTGGGCGGGACCGGCTCAGGTTGAGGTGCAAAGAGTCACAGAGGTTGCTTTACAGCAGCAGTTCTCGACCTGTGGGTCGCGACCCCCGTCGGGGGGTAAAAACCTGAGGGGCGGGCTTCCGATGACCGCAATGCTGAACGGGCAGTGTGCGCGTGCGCACACCGGCCCGTTCAGCATTTATCTTCCGAGCACCGTTCTAACCAGCCGAGAATCGTACGATTCCCGGCTGGTTTTCGAACATGCTGGTTCGACAGAAGACGTGCGACCTTACAGTAGAAACGGTCGCACGTCTCCGTTCACACTGCTCGATTATCGTACGAAAACCCGATCGCATACGATCATCGTACGATAATCGTGCAGTGTATGGGCACCTTAAGACACCCGATTCCTAAAGGGGATCGGGTGCCTGGAAAAGGTTAATTCTTTCATTAAAGGAGAACTATGAGGGGGGGGAGGGGCTTTTCACTCACCTCATAGTTCTAGCCGACCTGTGACAATGAGACTGTCTCAGGTCGGCTCAGTAGATCGGGAGGTGAAGGAACACATACCGGCGTTCTCTCACTTCTCGATCCTGTCATGGCTCTCTGCCGTGACAGGGGGAGGGGCTGGATTCCCCCCTCCCCGCTCCGATCCGCCAGCGCTGACTGGCGGAACGGACGGGGGAGGGGGCGGGTACAGCTGGCTCTGCCTCTAGATAGGCAGAGCCAGCTGTCACTCACTCAGCTGGGCGGATCTCGACACAATTGTCGGGATCCGCTCTGGCTGCGGCATCTCAGTATACCGCGAGCTGTAGCTCCCTATATACTGAGCTTAGGGTGACGGGAGGACGCTAGTTTGTGTCCTTCCGTTACCCTGAGGAGAACTATGGGGAAAGCCCTGACCCCATAGTCCTCCTTTAATGGACGCCTCAATACTGACCCATCCGTTACTGAGCGGTAACCGCTGATTCTCAGCATTGCAGTGACGCAAATAACTGATCAAGTACAGCGTACGTCTCCCGTCACAAAGGGGTTCAGCAAGCCGGGGGAAACGGTGAAGGTGACACAAAAGAAACAACGACACCAAATTGTTTAAAACGTTTGTGGTGATTTTTTTTTTCCGATTAATACTTTTCTGGCCGGCAGGGTCGCCTGGAGGGATCATTGCAGAGGAAAAAATCTGAGTTCCTTTACTGCTGGATGTTAAATGTGACGGGAACCCGAAGACACGGCCGTCCTCCGAGGAACGCACAAAGCTCAACAAATCAGCACAAGTCCAGCGGCAGCAACAAACGATCCGATTGGCTGCAGCGGAAAACACTCATTGATTCATTTTACATATTTTTTTTTTCATACGTGTAACGGCCTAATAAAAAAAGATCATAAAATCCCCTATGTCGCCTCTTCTGTGGGCGGGACCGGCTCAGGTTGAGGTGCAAAGAGTCACAGAGGTTGCTTTACAGCAGCAGTTCTCGACCTGTGGGTCGCGACCCCCGTCGGGGGGTCGAATGACGATTTGCCGGGGGTCGGCTAACGCCCGGGAGAGAAACACTTTCTCCCGGAAAGGTTTACTCTGCTCGATCAAGCAGAGTAAACCCTTCTCTGCTCTGTTTTTTTTCCCCTGACATCGGGGGCGCAGGCCGCTGTCAGTCAGATAAAAGAAAACCCACCCTAGGAATGCACAGCTAGATTCCTATTAGTTATTTCACTTTGCAATAGCCAATAGCAAACTAGCTATTGCACCCGCCCTCTGCTGCTGCCAATCAGCAGAGGGGGACCTGAAGTTCTCCATCAGGTCCCCTTCTAGCGATTGACAGCAGCAGAGGGCGGGTGCAATAGCTAGTTTGCTATTGGCTATTGCAAAGTGAAATAACTAATAGGAATCTAGCTGTGCATTCCTAGGGTGGGTTTTCTTTTATCTGACTGACAGCGGCCTGCGGCGTACACATAGCACAGCCGGCCCCGCCCAGCCCAGGAGCTGGTCACATGACTGTGACACACCGCAAGGTCCTCCGGCATAGTAGAGTGTGGAGGGAGGAGTACAGACTGGTGAAAGGGAAGTACGTATATCTTATCAGGGGTAACTCTCACAGTTTACACTTAACTCTATGGGCATTGGGCTGCTCTGTCAGTGACAGTACTGCGGAGTATGTACCTCATACATTATATAGCCACACACTTTAAATCCAATTTTTCTAGTTCCAGCTGCAGAGCCCGGTCCTGTCTTTGCCTATAGCAGCGGTTCTCAACCTGTGGGTCTTCTCCTGAGTGCCCCGGGTCTTCTACTGAGTGCCCCGGGTCTTCTACTGAGTGCCCCGGGTCTTCTACTGAGTGCCCCAGGACTTCTACTGAGTGCCCCGGGTCTTCTACTGAGTGCCCCAGGTCTTCTACTGAGTTCCCCGGGTCTTCTGCTGAGTGCCCCGGGTCTTCTACTGAGTGCCCCGGGTCTTCTGCTGAGTGCCCCGGGTCTTCTGCTGAGTTCCCCGGGTCTTCTACTGAGTTCCCCGGGTCTTCTGCTGAGTGCCCCGGGTCTTCTGCTGAGTGCCCCGGGTCTTCT